GTGTGTGTGTGTGTGTGTGTGTCTGGATACTCCGGGTGCTATTGGTGGGAAGGAAGGGGCGCTCGTGGTGCCGTTGCGGAGGTGTTGGTGTGCAGGATCAAAGGTATGTCGCGCCTCCAATCGCTGTCAATTCTTCCATCCGTGACCCGACGATTTGATTTTGCGAGTGTAGAGACTGCGATCGGGTTTGACATCGTCCGATCCAGAATTCTGGGCGCGGTCGGTCCGAGTTGGTGTGGAGCAGCTCCTTGCTGCAGCCGAACGAATGAGTGAAGACGGACCCTTGCCATGCCATCCCTCCTTCCATCCATCACAGTGCGTTCACACACGAGACGTTTGCTCCGTGACGATCATGGCTGATGCACGAAGCTTACTACGAGCTGCTGCGAACGCGCGGGCGAAGACAAACGGAGGCGGCATCTCGGACCGCTTCGCCTCTTATTCAGCCAGTGGGTCGCTTCGATGCTCGGCGTGCAACTATGCCACGATCAAGCACGACAGCCTCTGGGGCGCGCACGTACTGAGCAAGAGTCATCGCAACAACGCAGCGCGGATCCACGAGCAAGAGCTCCGAGATGCCGAGAATCAACGTACCAAGGACGGCAAGCGCAAGGCAGACGACGAGGAAGACGACAGCAACGACAGCGACTCCCCTCCCGGCGGTGGCCGAAGTCCTCGCGAGGGAGCTACGGACAACACAGGTTCTGGCGCCAAGAAGCCACGTACAGACACAACAGCATTCGCCGAGGCATCGACCGCGCAGGCGGAGTCCATCGATCCGGAATGGGAGCTTTTCAAGTCGCAGATGGACGCTTCCGGGCCAGAGTCGGGTGCACCCGAGGAGCGATACGACGCTGGCGCAACAATCGAAGCTGAAGCTCAGCTGATATCACAAGAAGGAATAAATGGAGCCGGGACCTCCACAGACGACGGCGCTGTCGAGGAACAGAGCGCCGAAGAGAAGGAAGCGCAAGAACGTGCACGCAGAGAGCAGGAGGAGCGCGAAGAGATCCTGTCCCGGCTCGAAGAAGAGCAGCGGCAGCAAGACGAAGCAGATCAGAGGTGAGTCCTCGCACTACCATCACACGTCGGAGCTGCTGCGCACACGTTGGCCGGCTCTGCTCTTTCTCATGGACGCTGACCTCCCTTCTTGCACTCCTCTTCTCCGCCTGTCTTCTTCATATTCTTTAAAACCCTACTCAGAGTCAGTGCGTTGAAACAGCGTCTCCAACGCATCAAGCAGGCTCGTCTGGACAAGCAGAAAGCGGCGGCCACTGACAAGGCCAAGGTGTAGATGATGTCGTGCGGCCCGAGAGCCGTAAATGTTGCACACATGCAAAGCTAACATTCGCAACCATTTTTCCAGCGGCGCGTGTGGAGGCAAAAGGCGGCGAAAACGCGAGAAATCCGTAGAAGCAGCGCAGCTGTGATGGAAGTTTGGGCGCGCAGAGTGAGAAGCCTGTGCTCCTCTCGACAGAGGTGCGCTTCCGGCTCAAAGTGCGGAGCGGACTGAGCACAGTGTGTGTGATTCGAGAAGAAGACCTCGGCCGCCATCACCTCGGCAGCTCAACTTTCCCCCCTCACCACATCAACCTCCCGACTCTCTTTGATCCTAGTGACTGCGCTGCCATCATCATGTCGGTCGCCGAACTCAAAGCCAAGGGCAACGCTGCCTTTGCCGCCAAGGACTACCAGGGTGCCATCCAGGCCTACAACGACGCCATCGCTGCCGCCACCTCGCCCGAGGATGCCGTGCACGTCCTCTACTCGAACCGCTCCGCATGCTACGCCGGCCTGCGCGACTGGATCAAGGCGCTCGACGACGCCGAGTCGTGCATCAAGGCCAACCCTTCTTTCGCCAAGGGTTACGGCCGCAAGGGCGCTGCCCTCCACGGCGCCCGTAAGCTCGAAGAGGCCGTAGACGCATACACTGCCGGCCTCGACATCGCCCCCAACGATGCCGGTCTCACCAAGGGTCTTGCCGACGTCCAGCGTGCCGTGCAGAACGAGGCGGCGAATGGTCCCGACCCGGCTGCCTCGATCGGCCAGATGTTCAGCGACCCCAAGATGTTCGAGAAGCTCGCTGCCAACCCCAAGACCGCTTCGCTTCTGTCCGACCAGGCGTTCATGGCCAAGCTCAAGTCCATCCAGTCCAACCCACAGGAGGCCGGCATGGCCTTCCAGGACCCGCGCATGATCCAGGTCATGGGCGTGCTCATGGGCATCGACCTTCAGGCTTTCGAGCGTCCCGAGGGCTCCAACGACCTCCCCGCCGACCTCGAGTCGCGCCGCGACGACATCGAGAAGCAGACCCCCGCCTCCTCCTCTTCCGCACCGGACGTCGAGATGAAGGACGCCAAGCCTGCATCCTCGAGCTCCTCGGCACCGCCCAAGGCTGCCGAGCCCGAGCCCGAGGAGGAGGACGAGGAGAAGAAGGCCAAGGCTGCCGCCGACGCCGAGAAGAAGCTCGGCAACGAGCGCTACATGAAGCGCGACTTTGACGCCGCCATCCCGCATTACGAGAAGGCGTGGGAGCTGCACAAGGACATCACATACCTCAACAACCTCGGCGCGTGCTACTTCGAGCAGGGCAAGTTCGACGAGTGCATCAAGGCATGCGAGAAGGCCATCGAGGAAGGCCGTGCCATGCGCGCTGATTTCAAGCTCGTCGCCAAGGCATACGGACGAATCGGGTCGGCGTATGCCAAGCAGGATCAGCTGGAGCAGGCGGTGAACCACTTTGAAAAGTCGCTCACCGAGCACCGCACTCCGGACATCCTGGCCAAGCTGCGCGACACGGAGAAGCTGCTCAAGGAGCGTACGCGTCAGGCGTACATTGACCCTGCCAAGGCCGAGCAGGAGCGTACACGCGGTAACGAGCTCTACAAGGGCGGCGATTTCCCCGGTGCCGTGGCTGCATTTAGCGAGGCCATCAAGCGTGATCCGTCGGACCCGCGTGGTTACACCAACCGTGCCTCCGCTTACACCAAGCTCGCTGCGCTCCCCGAGGCGCTCAAGGATGCAGAGGAGGCCATCAAGGTGGACCCCAAGTTTGTCAAGGGCTACATTAGGAAAGCCAATGTGCTGTACAGCATGAAGGAGTTCACCAAGGCCATGGAGGCGTGTCAGAAGGCCGAGGATGCCGATGCAAACCAAGAGGGAGGCGCCAAGAACCAGCGCGAGATTCAGCAACTCCTCTCCAAGTGCATGAACGAACTCTACTCGCAGAGGTCGGGAGAAACCGACGAGGAGACTCTCCAGAGAGCCATGCGCGATCCCGAAGTCGCCCAGATCATGCAGGACCCCGTGATGCAGTCCATTCTGCAACAGGCCCAGTCCAACCCCGCCGCCCTGCAGGAACACATGAAGAGCCCAATCATCCGCGAAAAAGTCAACAAACTCATCGCCGCCGGCATCATCAAAACCCGCTGAGAACACTCGCCGCCTGTCCTCTTGGCTTCAGCTCAGAAATGTATCTTTTCCATCCGATCCCGCTGCAAGTATCGTGTGACGTCTGTGCAGATTGCATGTCTTTGAGAGAGGAATGAAGACGGAGTCGCGAAGACGGAAGGCAGAACTAGCTGAGAGGAGCTTCTACACACGCCGGACCGGCTCGGCTCAGGTCGAGTATAGCATCGGCATCGGCGTTGGGCGGTGAAGGACTCAGCGGCGCGCCGCCGATGTCGGACCAGCCGTCCGACGAGTGGCTGTCGTCAAAACCCTGCGATGCGGTGCGTGCCAGCTCCGGTCGTGCGCCGAGCTGACCCGCTCGCAGCTCGGTCGGCTGCGTGTTCTCTGCTCGTGGCGCAGCGGGGGCGTCGGACTCGATCCGCGTATCGCGCTTGACGCGGCTGCGCGCATAGTCGAGATCGCGGTAGATCGCCTTGACCGCATTGCCGATGCCGTCTTCGGCGCGGATCTGCTCGCCAAGCTTGCGCGCGCGCTCGATCTGCTTGGCGTTGGTGGTGGCGGTGATCAGCGCCGCGGCCAGATTGTCTGCCGTGAGCTGGCGCACGCAGCTGCCCACGCCGAGGCTCTCGATCTGCTGGCCCCAGAAAAACTGGTCGCCAAAGTACGGCTT